AGCAGACTGCAGTTCAGACCTATAGCTGTCAATGACCTTTGTTTGCTAAGTACCCGTGCCACCTATGGCTTTAACCTGCAGTACAGGGATTCCTTAACCTGTTACCAGAAAGAAGGTACTACTTTGCTTTAATGTGATGTAATTTTTTTCCCATGTGTTCTCACCCATGGTGCCACCAACATCTCCTATTATAAATTGTAACTGTGAGGCTGCTCTCTGAGAGGTGACTAAAGTTAAAACCATTGTTTAAACACACTTGTCATTTGTCAGTGATTAACACTGGATTTACCAACATAAGTAAAGGATGTCTCTTTTAATGATTTTTTTTAATATCTTTCTGATCATTCAGACTTGTTAAGAAGCTTTATTCTATTTTTTAAGCTAAACTGTTGAAAATCAGTGTCAAAAGAAGAGTTGATTGTACTTTTAATGAAGTTTGCAAGGGAAAAATTATGATCACCCGTGTTTAGTTACCATGACTTTACATAACAATTTGATCATAGAAGTAACTGTGCTTTAAGGAAGATGTTTTAAATCCTCTGAGGAGATTGGTTAAGGAGAGGAAAAAAGTAGGAAACCAGCCAACTTCATTCCTCAGAGAAAAGCTAAACCCTTCAACAGGATAATAAAGGCATATAAAAGACTGTAGGTCTGTTAGAAGCAGCAGATGGGAATAGAAGAGGTTACAAAAGACATGTTTTTGCAAAGAAATTATTTTTTTTACACACAGAGTGGAGATGATCTATGGGCATCTCATTGTAAATGCACACATTTCTTCAACATCCTATGGTCATTTACTATCAGTGAAAGAGATTCAGGCACTCATCCTGTACAGTTTCACAGTAAGTAGAAAAAAAAATCCAGCTCAAATAACTCGCATCGTGAGTGTGAAATATGACCTACATTGTAGACACTCCAAAAGCTTCAAATTCAAGCATTAAACTCGCTGGAAAATAATTTTTAAAAACACATGTTTTCATAGTCAATTTATAAGAAAACTAATATTTTTTTGTATGTGAAAGAGTTCAAAGAAAGCTTGTTGATTTCAAACAATTTTTTTCTGTGTTTTGCACCATAACATTGAGCTTTCATGGGTTTATTTTTGCTTTTCTTTAGAGAGTGAATCTGTAGCTAGAAGCTGATTTAAAGCTGGTTTTTAAAGACTAAAATTTGATTTTACATGGATGATTTTACCTTTTTTCCTGTGCTTTGTGAGTTAACCCTGCTTATAACCTGGCATAATCCCAATTACATCCTGAAACAAACAGATACTGTGGTCCTTCTGAAGCATTTTAAATAGCTTAGCTACATTTTAAGGGTTCAGATGCATTAGGAGAGAAATAAAGCAAGAGAATTTGTGGTGAGTAGATAATGACTATGTTTTGGTGTAAGCCAGTTTTCATGCTGTCCTGGAAACATTATGACTTAAGTACTTTCATAATGGAAATTTGAAAGTTCATGAACTTTGCTGTTGTAAATGCAGAGAGAGTCTAGAGGCCTTTAAAGTTAGGCCTGCCAATGAACAGGGAATTTCAAGGCAGAATGAATTCTTTTTGAACTAAGGAACTCCAAACCTTTCAAATGTAAGCACCCAAATAATATGATGAGAGTCTGAACTATGTCTCCTATAGTAAAATACTACACACAGGTAAATGAAATCATATTAACTTAGTCCAGGCTATTTTAAAATTCATTTATTAGTAAATCAGTGGCTATGAGGTGTTATATTTCTACCAAAAAAAAAAAACAACCAAAAAAACTGGAGAGAAGCAAAAACAGACAGTATTGTAATTTTAACCAGACAACGTGAATTTTTTATGTCAAAGAAACAATATTAGCTAGTTTTTGTAGCAACATTATAGAAAGTTTTATTTATGTTAACATAAGTAAAAGTAAAATTTCCTTTCAAATTGAATCCTTACAGTAGTATAAAATAGAGTGCAAAACTAAACAGAAGGATTTGAAATAAAAAAGCACCAGAGTCCTTCACACTTCAACTGTTTTTGTCATAGAATTGTGTCTGCTTTGTTCTACAAGTTCTAGGTAACTAAAACTGCAAAATTATTAAAAAACTAAGATTGTGGAGGTTTTCTGATAAACTTTCTTTCTAAAAATAATTTTAAGATAAAACTTTGTTTTCCACCACCCACATCATGGCACTCTAAAACAAGGTCAGCTTTTCTCCTCTCTTCCAAAAAAAGCAAACGTTTACAGTCTCCTTTATTGACTCACTTCCAAGCTTATAATCTTTGTTTGCTACTAAAACAAGACAACTGTGTTTTTCTGAAAGACTCACACTGTGACCAGGTGTTGATCCTGCTGGGGAAAGAATTAAATATGATTTATGACAGTCAGGCATACGAGCTGTTTTTACCTTATCTTGTTGAAAGAAGGCAATAGCAACTTTCCTTACAAGGAATCCTAACAACTGGTTTGATAGCCCTCAAGGAGAAATTCTTTGGATCAATCAAATATCAGAACTTTATTTCCATGGATTTACTGTTGTACAAGAGTTTGTTACCCAGCTTGAGATCTGCTAAAGTGTTCTATGTAAAGAATCTCTTGGGAACAACTCATGGGAAATAGTAGGTATAGTCTGGGTATGGAAAGGAAAATACAGGTAGAGGAATTTAGCTGCACATTACACAGGAGTGAGCTTAAGGCAGCTTCAGGTTAAGATAGCTGTAACAGTCTTTGCCTTCGGATTAATTTTCTTTGATTGAAGGACCCAAATTTTGTTCAGCATCCAACCTTGAGGACAGACTTATTCTTAGCAGAGAGGTCTCAGGTATGCTACATTCTACAACTGACACAGCATCACTTAGCATTCGGTACACCTTCTGTCTTGGTTTCTGCATTATGTAGAGCTTAGATGAAAGTAAGTTGACTGCTCTTTGAAATGTTTAGTAGAGGATTTAATACACAGTGATCTTATTCTGATGTCAGCTCAGTTTTTTAGTTGCTCTCAAAATTTCATTGTATGCTTTGAACCTTCTGATTGAGTAAATCTTAGCTGTAGTAGCCAGGCTATTGCATGCTATATATAAATATTGGATTATGTAAAAAAAAAACCCAAACCACAAATTAAGGAAGTAGCACATAGATATTTCCAAATTTTAACTATATCATTTACCAGAGCTATGAAACAGAAACTCTTGTTATGAACTTGTAGAAGTTTACTGTCATGTGTGAAATGGAGTCTGCTTCTGCATTAACCCTTATGTTCCTCTGAGTGTACTAAAATATCTCATATACTTGGTTTACAAGTTAAATTCTCAGTCTTGTGTTTCAATAAAATAGACTTCTGCTGTGTCCTTGAAATATGAATTTCCTAATGAAATCAAGAAAAAAGGTACACCAGTATGGTAGTTTCACTCCTGCTGAGAAAAATATTTATCTCAGCTAAACAAGATAGATTTGGATTTTTTTTCATGTTCAAACATTCATTATAGTATGTTAATATTCTTCGTTAATATATTATTTATTTATAATAGTTCTTTTAGCATAATTATAAATTGTCTTATACTTCATTTAATTTAGCCAATAATTACAAGCCTGCTTCCTAATAAAAAATTGCTCTATTTTTTTTTTTTATTATATGTCAGAACTATCAATTGTAACGTAAAATATATAGCAAAATATATCAGTGATTCTTTGGATAAAATATGACTGCATGATTAATGTATAAAAAGTGCATAGCATAGACCATAAAATAAATGTTGTATCTGCTATACATAACTGAACAAGAAAAATCTATTTATATTTTCATATCTATTTTTTTAGAATTAAAGCACTTAAATTCAACCATATGTCAACGTACACATACAAACACACAGTCACATATATATACATATATATGTATATATATATTACCTTGCCTGAACATAATGAACTAATTTTTTTCATTCATATTTCCATTTATTGTCTTAGGACAAGTAAAGGGACACCCAAAACTTTCTTTTGCTAGTTCTAAAAGTTGCACAGATGTTATCCAGAGAGGTTTATAAGAGAGTTCCTCTCTAGCAAGACACTTCATTGCTTAAAGCTTTACTTAGGCTTCTACATCTCTTCTAGTAATTCCCTTTTGTTTGCTCACTTTTAGCCTTATTCCCTTCAGTCTGCAATTACAGTTAAAGTACTGTTACTTTTGAAAAATCATATGTGAACTGAGATGAAGTTTATCTTAACACAAATGTTGGCATTTTCAATTTAAAATTATTTGGCCAAATGAGGTATCATTTCAATTTCAGGATACCAGTTAAATAGTTAGTGCTTGTATCACTCAGCACTTGTATAAGTTTTTGTGCCTGTTTGTAGGTGTACTTATCTAGGAAACGTATGTAAATATTCTTGCTCAGTTGAAAAAGCTCTGGAAAACCTCATTTCCTCCCACTCTTCAGGGAATGTTGGAAAATTTATCTTTAAGGTAATGAATTTAAGAAGATTAAACTATGCTATTCCATTATTATTATTTTGTTTACAATGCACTGTAGGTTTAGGACACTCTTCAGCACATAGACTCTGCAAGGCAATGAATAGTATTGAGCAGGTGTCAATTTTCATCCTCTGACAAGCCTCTAACCAGTGTGTTGTCTTTAAAAACATATACCAAGGAAAGGGAATTTGAGTTCATACTTTGCAAGAAATTGATGGTTGGCATATATTCTGTATGAATTCTCTTCATTTTAGAAGGCCAAACATATAGCTCCTGATGGCATAGGGGAATTTATTTCACTCCATCTGCAGGATTTGCTATGACTTGTTTTGTTAGTGTATTTTCTTATTTTTGGCAATTTAATGTGGAAATTTAAAAGTTCTAAATATAAAATTTTGCCTCAAAGAACTTATCCTACTGCCTCGATTTTTAATATTATATTTATTCTCAAAATCTTCAACCGATTTTCAAAAAAATTCTTTGTTATTGATTAAATCTAATAGAATAAATTGTCTCCAAATTTTCTAGGAGATATCTCAATTGTTACTTTTACATTATATTTTAGTGTTGCTGCTCTGTCAGAAATCTCTAGGACACTGCATCCAGGTATGAAAATGAACTAAGGAAAATTTTAATTTTATGTAAGTACAAAAAAAACTTTTTTCAACCAATGTATTTGATTCACAATAAAAAAAAATATGAATTTATGGAATTCACTTTTTTCGGTACAAAAGACATATGTAGCTTATCTGTCATTTTTAAAGTAAATTAAAAAAGAGAAAAAAGTATAGGAGTAGTCTCACCACAGAAATACATATTCTTGTTTCAATAGAGTAAGTTTTAAAGTTGGAAAAACATTATAGCTGATGCATCTCTTGTGAAATTTTTAGGCTTCTTGATATTTTAGTATTCCAGGAAACTGAGATGATTTTTATATATACATACATACATGACATATGGATACTCTCACACAGTTCATCAGATGTATATACAACTGTCATAAATAACATCTGTAGACTGTAAAGCTATTAAAGTCTTTAATGAGCACAACTTTTTAATGTCACTAATATAACTACAAGGACTAGGAGAAATTAGCTATTTGGTCTCATTTCCCCTTAAACCAAGTCACCTGGTATATAGGCTTTTCTTTTCTCTTTTCTTTTATAGAACATATGGAGAGCATCCTCACCATTTGGTACTTTGACTCTACCACTCAAAAGTAGCCAGAGAAGATGAAGCAGTTCAGTATCTGTTGAAATGCTTTGACTGGCAAGATATGACTGCTGCTAATAGTTGTGCATAAAATACAATTGTTTAAAATTACTACAGTCCTCCCAGTGATAATGGGGTTCAGTAGATGCATCTCCTGAGGCTCTTAACTATCTGATTTCATAGTGATTAATATAATGAATTTCTGAAGTCTTTAACAACATTACCCACTGAGATTTTTTTATTAAGTAGACCCATTTTATGCTCTGATCTATTTTGATTCATATTAGGCTGGTTTTTTGGGTTTTGATTTCTTGTTTTTTGTGTTTGTTTGGGTTTTTTTACTTTTTTTAAAAATCTAAAACAAGAAATCAGCAGTACTAGTAAAACAATGTCTATCTTATATTCAAGTATATTTTCCCATGTCTCCTAAAAATCTTGTGGGGAAAAAAAAAAGTATGAGATGGGATCAAAGGGATCAGAACAAAACTTCTCTCAAAATCCAGCTAGTTATTAGGTAGCAGAGTATAGTGATATACTCTAATTGTCCCAAATCCTAAATTCACTGCTATAGAGGAATACTATAGGGTCTTTAGAAGAAGGACATTTTAGAAAATAGCAGAATAACATAGCAAAGAGTTACAGATGTTTACAGTTGGAAGGCTTGCTGAAAATAATGCCTCTTTTTGAAAAAGCATTCCCGTGGGAACTTGCTTCACTGCTGTTTAACCATAAAATTAACATCTCATCGCATCATTTGGAAGTGTTATAGCATATACACTTTACTGCTGTCTCCCATTTCCAGATGGAGTATGGCTGTGAACAGTTATTACTGAAAGACATATAATGATGTCTTGAAAGAAATTTAATGAAAGTTCAAGCTGAGTAGATGGCTAATGTTGTTGACTATATGGTGCTAGACGTGAAATACGCATTAGCTTAATTATTATGTATACTAAGCCTTAATAGATTCAGTTTGATGCTATCTGTATTCTACTTTATGTGGAAAATCAAATGAAAATGCATAGTTTGAACTCTATAATGCACGACACTTCATTTTCGCTAACATAATGCAGTTTCAGTAATCTTTGAGGATTTTGTAATTATTTATAAAAGAAACACAGTAGATGCTATCCAAAATGAATATGCATAGGCAGATCATGAGGCTTGTTCTGGAGGAACTCAGGAAGACAGAAAAGTCAACAAACATCTTGGGGGACATTTTTCAGCTACTAGGAAAATAATCAGTACTTTGTCAGTACTGCTGAGAAGTGGAAAGAAAAGCAAACAGTTTGTCAGGAATATCAGATAATGTTTCATTGTATAAACCAGCATCTTCAGCCTCATGTCAGGAATAAACTGAGCTGATAAACATGGAAGTAATTTCTAGATTAAGAACATATAGAAACCTATATTATTCACATTGGAGAGGGAGGAAATTAAAAACAACTATTTCATTGTATTGTTAGGACTGGAACAAGGGACAGTGAATGAAACTGAGGATGGCAAGCTCAAGAAAAAAAATAGCAAATTTTTGCTCATTTGTTTTATGCTGTCATTTCTGTCTCATAACTTAAACAGTGGTCAATATCATATGTTTGTCATCCTCTGTACACTATATATATATATATACAGAATTCCTCACTAATCTCAGGAAAATAATCTGAAATAATCTTACATGTATCATATACACAACAATTACATAGGTGTGTTTCTTTGTTTTTTTGTTTTTTTTTTCCAAAGAACCTTAATGCCACTAATAATCTGCTTTATCCAGATACATAGAAATGGGGGAAATTAATGCCAGAGAGGCTTTGGAGCAAAGAAATTTTAAAAGCTGGGCATATTTTACTTTATCACCCATTGTACCTTTCAGCACTGAAACAGAAAATGTCATTTAAAAATACAGAAAAATAACAGTAGAATTAAGTTACAGACATAAAACCCCAGATTCCTTCACATGAATTCATTAATTTATATGATTTATTAATTAGACAATGATTGATCAAGATTCACGTTGAACTCAATGGAAAGAGATAAGCATTCTCAATGTCATTTTATAATGGTGGATATTTCCCTCTGACTTCATTAATATCTGAAGGAAAGCTGCAAAATACAGTTAAGTTTTCAAAATTAATTTGAAATTAATTTGAGTGAACCCAGACTTTAGCTTTTTCTGGCAAATCTGGCCTATTCTTTTTCAGTAAGCCTGATTACTGACACATTTTACACTTCAGTGGTTTGAAGCAAAACACAGTATGGCTTTTTTCACTTTTTTTCCATCCTTGATGAATGTTACAGCAGACTTCCAAATCTCCTAGATACCCATATATCAAACTGCACAGATAAGGGAAATATCATTCCAATGTGTAATTTACTTCCTAATGAGCAGAATTTTTGCATTAGGACAGGAAATTATGTAGAAATGTTTCCGTCAGTTGTCTTGAATGTTATCTTAAGAGTACAGAACTGGGGTAGCTACAAAGTATGATTAAATCTGATCATGGAATAGAATACAACTTTCGTTCACTTTTTTGAACTACTTTGGCACATTGCTTACTACTTGGTTTTTTAAATTTTTTTTAGATGAGGGTTTTGTGAAAAAAAGGTGCTGTTTGGAGCTAAGCTTACCTGAGAGTCTTGTGAGGCTGTAAGCACCAGTAAAAAAAAGCATAGTCTCTCATCTCAAGCTGTATGAGAAGACGAGTTTTGTAGACTAAACAGACTTTAAAAATTACTCCATATTTGTTTATGCAAATCAGATAGAGAAGTCTTACTTGAAAGTTTTGACAAATTTGTAATTGTTTAACACTTTCAATCAGAGGAATAGAGTAAGTACAATAATGATTTACACCCACTCTTTGAATAGTCGTATTTAAAAAGTGGTATAAATAAATGTTCGTGTTTCCTTATATGCTTCTATTTGATTAGTAAATTGGTCCTTTGTTTAAAAAAAATTAAGAGGACAAAATGTATTTAAATATACTATAGTTTGGGGCTTTTTTCTGTTGAGGGATTTTTTTCCTTAGATTTTCTGAAAATAATAATTGCACTGTTAGTACCAAGGGACGATGTTATTGGCATGGTAAAATAACACACATGCATGGAACTTATGCACTTCAGTCCTTTCTTTTTTTGTTGCTTGTTTTTTCACTTTTTCTAGTGGCTTTGTACCAATTGCAGACTTCTCTTGCATTTCAAATCTTCAAGTGCAGAATCCTGGTGGAAATACATGCTATACTAGTTTAAGACTTTTTTGCCTTGCTTTTGTCAGAAATGTATTTGGGCTTATTTCATCTGTACTTTTAGAAGTATAATATATTACAATAGGGCATTGAAAATTTTATTAAAGATGGGTCTTTCTGGATGTCATTCCTAATATGCCTCCCCCTGACTCTCTGACAGAGGTCACTTTTCAATAGAAGGCAAGTATGTCAGCTTTTAAAAGAAAATGCACAGAAAAGATAATCTGAATAAAATAGTTACATTCTAAGGTTCAGTGAATATAATCTGGTGTCTTATATAGTTGTTTTACCAGGGAGTATAAATAAAAGATGCAAATGAAATGTAGGTAAAATTTGCACATTTTGTGATATATTGTAATTGTACTTCCATTTGAACTGGATTCTGAGAAAAACTGTATTAGATTCTAGAAAATTAATGTTCTTTAAAAAGTTAACTGAAATGAAGAGAACAACACTGCATTATGAAAGGATGATTCTCAAATATATAGGAAAGTGATATGTTCCTACAGTTTTCAGTCTGAGGAAACTAGCACTCCATATAGCAATATACTTCACTGAAGCAAAATTACTTCATATTAAAGCATCCTGTTTCTTTTTTAAAAAAATAAGTCTCTTCATAAAGTTAGTTACTTCTAAGTAGTTGTTAAATTACAATTACTGGCTATTTAACCCTAGGGGTTATTTCAAGTCCTGCTAAGTATAGTTCATATAGATTACTGAGAATTGGCATCAATAATCAGTTTTCTAGGCTCTTTCACTTTCTTTTACTGTTTTTTCACTTTTTTTTTTTTTCCTTCTTGGAGTGATGTTTCTTTTAGAGCATTATGACTTTATAATAGTGTTGTCTATTGAGAAAATTGTATTTGTGAAAATATTTGAGATGAATACTGGTGGGATTTTATATATAAAGAACTCATCACAGAGTCTTTAGTGAGGGCAGAAAAGTTGTATTTGTTAGCTATAATTGCTGGATATTGCAACTTCCAAGTCTTCTTCCCTGGCATTCTTTTTTAATTTGGATCACAGCATCTTGTCTGTGAGTATACTGCTCCCTCTAAATACTTAACAAGGAGTATCAGCATTGTCAATAAAGTGTTTTTTCAGTATATACCAGCTGCCATGAGATCCTTTTCAGTTCTTGGAAGTATTTTGATGTTGCTTCCAAGTCTAAATGCAAGTAGTTCTGAAAATGCTATGCACAGTGCTGCAAGTTTCAAATGGCAGAATCCTTTTCCAGGAAAGAAGTCAGTTTGATGGGTATTTCACTCTATCAGTTGTCTCTGCATCTTATTGTTTTCCCTGTTTTATATATAATTTTATTAATTCATTAGAAATGCCATGTTCAGGCAGTTGTCTCATAATATTCCATTTGGTCCAGGTTATCTTAGATAAAACTGGTCTCTCTTCTTGTAAAAGGAAGGGAGGTAACTTATTTTGAGTAGAATAACAATTTTCTAATAATGACAAATCAAAGCATAATAAGTGAATGAACAAATAAATAAGCAGTCAAACACCAAAGTGCAAATAACCAGCTAAATCGGCATTCTCTAAGCTTTTTCTGGGGAAATGTTCTAATAAAACACAGTTCACATCAAGGTTACCTGTAACCTATAGGAGTGACCAAAGCACATAGTCCTTGCTACATCACCTTAACTTCTCTCTTCTTTGCAAGAGACAGCATGTACTTTTTTTTTTCTTATGTACAAAAAGGATCATTAAAATAAATACAGAAGTGAGGAAAGGGAAACATAGAAATACCACTGATACAATTTTAGTGTTGGAACATGAGGCTGCTGTAGGCTGTTTTAGCTTGCAGTGAACTTTTAATAAAGCATAATTAAATACTAGTAGTGGTGGTAGTGATCAACTGTGAAAAGGTCTATTTGAATTTAAAAAAAAACAAACAACAAACCAATTCTTTCTACCTTGGTTCTGGAGCAGATGGTTGCTTTTAGTCTGGATAAGGGATTTTAAGGTGATCTGATAGTTTTTATATCTCCTC